AAGAAATTGGTATATCGCTTTTAAAGATGTCTTTGATTTTTCCATAGGCTGTCCATGCTAGGTTTTTCTTCTTCGTAGTTCGCATGTTTGGTTGTCTCTTGCGATCTTTATTTCGTGTCCAAGATATATGTATTTTTCCACCAGCTCTACTTTGTTGTCTCCAATATTGATATTTCCGCTAGGTACTAGGTTTGTCATGAATTTTGTTTTGGAGATGTTTATTTTAAGACCCACACTTGCACACACTAACTGAAGTTCATGTAACATTGTACATATCTCCTTGGGGTTGTCCGAGAACAAAACCATGTCGTCTGCGAATTTCAAATTTGTTAATCTTCTACCGTCAATGTTCAGGCCTGTCTCTTCCCAGTTAAGTTTTTTTGTATGTATTGCGTCAGTGTAATCCAAAAATACTATCAAGAATCTAACACTGCAGCTTAAAATCCGAATGATTAGATGTTACGTTTTTTCTATCTTACTGTATGGCTGTGAAAGTTGGACAATGGACTCTGAAATAGAAAAAATAATAGATGCCTTTGAGATGTATATATACAGACGTATGTTGAGAATTCCACGGGTACAAAGAGTTACTAATGTTGAGGTACTTCGTCGAATGTGTAAACAGAAAGAATTACTAAGAATAATCAAAGAGAGGAAAATGCAATACTTGGGTCATGTGTTAAGAGGCGAAAATTATGAATTACTTCAAGTAATACTGGAAGGAAAAGTACAGGGCAAAAGATCAGTAGGTTTATGGAAATCTACAAAAGCCAGAACGAGTGGTCGATTGTATTCGATAGTCTTTTCTATTACCGTTTTAATGCTCTGTAGGTGATCATTTGTTCCAAATCCAGTACGAAATCCCGCTTGCTCTATTGGCTGGTAGAAATTGCTATATATATTATTATAAAGTCATTAATAAGGACGTTATATTTATGGTTTAGGTAATTGATACTAAATTAGAAATTACTTTATAGAGTATCAATTATTAAAGATGGTAATATAATAAACAAAAAGTTTGGTATCTATAAAACAATCTGTATACAATCAAACTCCTTTTATTATTTAGGTGGGTAATAATTGTGTAATTAGTGCGGTTTCAAATAATTTAATAATATTGCAACGCCACTGCTTGGGTCGGATCATATAATATATTCTATTGTCTGCGCGATTAACTATTTCATGGAAGGGGTCGCCACTCGATTTGAAATAAGCTGTAGAGGTAATGGATTTTGGGAACAGCTATGACCTTGAACATTTCACATAAACTTGTGTACTAAATAGGCATAATGCATAGCTCTTGTTAAAATCCAATACATTAATAATATAATTACATATCTTCGATTCGAAAATATTGTAAAAGACTTTAAAGAGTCTGGGTAAGAAAAAAGATTTAGTTATATTCTTTGTGGCATTTTCAAGGTCATAGCTGTTCCCAAAATCCATTAACTCTACCTTATACCTTAATTATGTAGCAGCATATAATTTTACTATAAAACTTATGAACAAATGTGAAAAAATTTAAATTTTGTGTCTGATCATAATAATTTGATCACCTACTGTAGCTGACGAAATTTTGGGTCAATTATTGTAGAGCTGTTGGGGGCGGTATTTTTATTATTACGATTACAGCGTGTTTTTATCAGAATTTCCTGCAAAATTTCCTTGAAGATTCCTGCAAATTTATAGTTTTCAGTTCACTATTATCAAAGAATCCATACTTTAAAATGAAGCTTCGTGGGTTATCTTTATTAAACAAGGCTATGCGAAATTTAACTAATGTTGATTTTGAATGTGTTTGATATTAATGAAATCTTACCAATTTAAAAAATTGAAAAAACCAATGACTGAGTAGCATAGTTAAGGGGATTAGTTATTGAATTGCATATAATCGTTGCACTCTTTTAGAGACCACACAATTTTGGGACTGCTGATAAGTTCAATGCTGCTGAGCACGGTGCCCACGGGCATCATTGTTTGTCCTGGTAACAGAAATGTTGTTTGTATATTTGTTAAATTGACACTTTCTCCGTAAGCAGTATTCACTACTTTATCCAGATCAAAGCTGACACACAGCACATATCCTTTTTTTAAAAATTTTGGTTCTTCAAAAAAACTTTGACACCTTTATTTATCTTTAACCCATTAGCGCCTGAATTTGTTAAATAATTGTATAAAATCTCTATTATTTTAAAAATATACATATGTGTATTTATATAAACTTTGTAAAAATTTCTTTTATTTTTTTTAAAGAGAGTTTTTACAGGACCCTGTGTTCATATGATCACGCTAGATGTATATGAGGTACAAAAATACTCTTTCTGTAAAAATTCATTTTTTATTACATTTTATGAAAAGTTTCGAAACAATCGATAGAGTCCGACATGTAGGTAAACTTTTAAATTGATTTGGAAAAGTATCAAGCACTAGAATCAAGGGTGCAGCACACTTTTCAAATTTATTTTCGGAGCTATTATTGCTATGAGGGTGTTACCTTGGTAAAAGTCAAAATTAATAAGATAGCCATCAGCAGTGGCTCCATACTTTGTATCTAAATCGAATAGGTTTATTTAGAATGCACTGCTTGCAACCGTGCTCACCAAAATATTCTATCATTGACTCATCAAAACTGATATGTTGTTCGGGCGCCTTCTTCTTCTTCGTCTAGCCATTCACGTTCACATCTGAACATAAGCCTCTTCAAGTCTTCCTTTCCATTGTTTTTTATTGTACGCTAGTTGTAGTCCATCTCATAGGAGGTCTGCCTCTGGGTCTTTTGTGTTGGTATGGTCTCCAGGTTAAAATTGATCTGTGCCATTTGTTTAGATCGCTCCTAAAGCGTATTCCCATTTCAACTTTAATGATTTTTGCACCACATCGGTGACTTTGGTTTTCTGTCTTATCCATGTGTTTGTTTTCTTGTCCTTAAGTGATATACTTTGCTCTTTCCATCGCGTGTTGAGTGACTCTAAGTATATTCATATTCTTTTTTGTGATTTGTTCAGGTGTCTACAGTTCTGCAAATTTATTTTGTAATAGTCATAGTCATCTTTATTGATCCTTTAAGACATTCAAAATAAATGTATAGGATACGTCACTATAGAATTTAGTATAAAAACATTAATGTGTATAATCCAGTGTAAAAAAAATTGACAAAACATAAAATAACATTTTTACAAGTAAAATATGAAGCTACTGCAGTTTGCCCTCAAGATATTCATTTATAGAATAATATGCTTTTCTTAAGAGTAAATCTTTAACATTTTTTTAAATTTAGAGATAAGTGGTATTTCTTTCACAGTTTTTGGCAAATGATTGTATAAGGTCAGTCCCATATATCTGAAGCAATTTTGAAATTTGGATGTTCTGTGTTTAGGAACTCGTACAGATTCAGCACCTCTTGTATTGTAATAGTGATTGTCTGAATTTACTGGAAATGTATTGATTTCCTCTTAGACATAAAGTAAACATTTATAGATATATAGGCAGTAGAAAGTTAAAATTTGATGTTTAATAAAAACTGGTTTACAAGATCTAAATTAAAAATTTTACGGATAATTTTTTTTTTTTTGGTTAATGAACACTTTGTTACTATCTATATATTTGCCATGGTTTTAGTTTCCACATTTTATCCACTGTTGACGGAAAATTATTATTTGTAAGATGTAAATATCGTGAAATTGCAATACAACGAACAAATTCATTGCGCAGATCCCCTTGTGAGTCTCAATAGTTTCTCTTTGAAGGTACTGTATTGTAACCAGACAAACTTAGTATGGCTAAGAAAACTTGAATCTCTTTAGGATCACATTGAAATCTGAACAACTTAAATCTTTGTATTTTGTATTAGAAGGCGAAGGAGAATCGAACAAGGGTGCTACTATATCACCTGCTATCCATTCTGTCTCTAGATAAGCTTTCTTGACAGATTTGTTGATAGAATTCTCTATGGTTTTAGCTACTTCATAAACCGTCATTTAATTGCTGTTCATCCCCCCATATTCTAACTAATCCTGACTCTCATTATAAAAATTCATCACAACCTCTGCACCTGCACCTAGTTGTCTACCGGTTAGGTTAACAACTAGTCCTCCTTCATCACCAAAGTCCTTGTCAGTTAGTACATTTTGAGATGGAGGCTCTATAAATATTTCATTTAAATCTTGATCGTCGTCGTTTTCAATCATAGCTAAAGCCTTTTCCAAAGTAATACCACTAAAACAATAAAAATAGGTTGATATTATAAGATTACCAGACAAAAAAATATTAACCACTGCCCACATTCACGCCTAGCGTGTTTATACAATCACATCCGTAATAAATGTGTAATTATGAAATACCAAAGTACTATTTTGAAGTGTAAATCATTTTAAGATAAAGTTTAACTTACTTGTATAACCTATTAAACCACAAACCAAATTTTAAAAAGTTTTTTTATATATAAATGTAATACTTACACAAATCGGATGTACGGATTGTCAATTTTCAAACTGCTAACCAGCAAATTCACCACCAAAAACACTTCTGAAAGCAATTCAGTGCACTTCGCACTGTTTATTATTTTAAACTAAGTCATTAGCAACGCATCGGCCTTGAGCCGAGTTAAAATTATCACAGTGTTTCCAAAAAAAACAAATAAAATCTTGAGTCTCCGGTCAATACTTATTGGTGCCCTAATTTTTTCATTCTCTAAATTCAGTATTTCTTGTTTCCTTTTTGTTAAATCGTTCTCTATCAATTTTTAATCCATCTGTCATTTATCTGTATGTTACTTGGCTATCAACTATATCCTTACATACCCCAATGAAGCTCCTAAACTGAATCCTTGTTTTGTTCTTGTGTTAAAACTGGCATACTACTCCTTGAAGTCAATCTTGCCTCTTACAACCTTATACAAATTGCCATAACCAGATCCTTTGTAATCTGATGTTTTACCAATATTTTTTAAAGATATTGTGAATACATTTATACTCAACATTAAATTATTCTCTCTTTTCTAGGAGAGGATCAGTTGAATGAAGAGGCAACAGAAGCTGAAAATGTCCAAAAAGATGAAGATCCACTTGCTAAAACTCCACCAAAAACACCGGCAAGAAAAACAAAGGCTGTCAAGCAAGAAGCCAAAACGGAAACGAAAACTCCACAAAAATCACCTGCCACTGGAAAAACAAAAAGACAAAGAATGATGACGCAGCACTACCAAAGCCCCTTACCTGAAATTGAAATTATAACAAAAATTAGCTCGTCCACACCTCGAAGTAAAAATAATGACGATAAACTTATTTATTTCTATAAAAACGAATTCCTTGCTGTTAGAAACTCAGAGGGGGGTTTCTATTTGTGCCAGGCAATACAAAACGTATACAAATCTTCGTCGAAGATAAAAATTCGTTGGCTATCTCAAGACAAAAATGATAAAAGTGGGGAGATATACACTCCTGACTTTTATGATTTGACAGATTTCGACTGCATTTTAACTAGTTTAGATTTGACGAAAGTTGGTAAGGGAAGATATAAATTAAAACCTAAGGAAAAGGAGAGAACCGACAGCATTTTGAAAAGATGTTTGGCTGTTGAAAAGGGAGAAATTTCTCAACCTTCAGTATCTGAGGAACATCCCGATGGTCGTAAGTAATATTTTCGTTTGTAAATATTTTCCGCGTTTTAAAATATAATGGAATACTACTACTTTATTCAGGTTAATTACATTTCTAATTAACAGTTTCCTGGAAACAATTTCAAACCCAAGCAATCACACTCTGTGTGATTTCAGAAGGGATCTTTTATATATTTTTATAGATATCCATTTAAAACCATATTTTTACCTATCGCTGCCACAAAAAAGTATCGAGCGTATGGAAGTTATAAATAAACTAAATATCCACTTTAAAATCCATATGACCTAGTTTATTCCATGGTTTATACCTTTTTGGTATTAACTTTATATGTAACAGTACAGTGTGAATAGGATTGACATTTCTATAGCAGTTTTATATTATAGAAAATAAAAATGACAAATTTGTAGTTGTTATTGCTTACTTCTATGTCACTTGTTTCAGTGGACTTATCTTTATATAAAGATGAAGAACAATTAGTGAAAAAGAAGTCTCCTGTAAAACGCAAAGCTCCACCAAGATCAGAGTCGCCTAAAAAAGAAACTCCAACCAAGAAAACTCCAGAAACACCGAAAGTTCGAAAGGTCGAACCGAAACCGTCGAGAACCACCACGCCGGCAAAGAAACAAACACCTGCTAAAAAGATCCCTGAACCCAAAAAGACGCCGGCATCGAGCAGGTCAGCTAGGGGGAAGAGAAAAAGTGAACCAAAAACTAGCCCTGTGGTGGATCAGAAAAAGGCCAAGGTATTAGCCAAAATTGGAAGGAAGTCCGCTGTTTCTTCAAGTAGCCCGAAGCCTCAGCCTCAAAGTACTCCTAAAAGTAAGTAGACAACTTTAATTCATAAAATTAAATTAGCTCAACTTTAATTTTCATTAACACCTTAAGGGTCACCATACAATGAAAATTGTTGATCACTGGGACAAATTTTTTTTTAATAGTCTCTGTTTGCTAAGAAATTTTATCATCTATTTGACTAATATGTTTAGGTACTTACTTACTCCGTGGCGTTACAACCCTTCGTGGGTTTTAGCCGACTCGACAACATGCCTCCACTGTTTTTTGTCTTGAGCAACCTCCATCCAATTCTCCACGCCCATAGTGCTTAGGTCTCCTGCTATATTATCTCGCCACCGGAGACGAGGGCGTCCGCGTGGTCTCCTTCCAGTTGGGACTTCGTCCCACACCAGTCTTACTGTTCGTTCGTCAGAATGTCTTCTGAGGTGTCCTGCCCATTGGAGTCTTCTGGACTTTATTTCTTTTATGATGTTGGCGTCTGGGTAAAATTTTTCGAGCTCTTTGTTAGTTCTTATCCTATATTGTCCTGATGCTTCATCTAGCACAGAACCAAAGATCTTCCTTAGGATTTTTCTTTAACAGACACGTAGTCTCTCTTCGTTTGCCTTTGTTATCGTCCACGTTTCGCTTCCATACATTACAACGGCTCGTATGATTGTTTTATAGACCTGTATCTTCGTACGTCGTGTTAGTTGTTTTGATTTTATAAGGTTTTGGAGGGCAAAAATACATCTGTTGCTGGCCTGAATCCTGTTGTTTATTTCTTGTGATCCGTTATTGTCTTCAGTTATTGTTGTTCCAAGATACTTGAATTCTCTAACGCGCTCAAAGTTAAAGTCATCGATGGTAATGTTCTGACCGATTCTGTCTCTGCTTTGGTTATTGCGGCTCATATACATATATTTCGTCTGGTTTTCGTTGATTTGGAGCCCCATCTTCTCTGCTTCCTTCTCAAACCTTACGAAAGTCTCCTTCATCCTTAATCGCGTGTTTCCTATTAGATCTATATCGTCTGCAAATGCCAGTAGTAAGTTTGGTCCTTCTCGATGAAATACTGTATTCGGTTTTTCGATTCTTGCACTTCTGATTATGTGGTCCAGAGCTAAGTTGAAGAGTTGTCGTGAAAGTGCATCTCCCTGTTTTAGTCCATTGTTTATTTCAAATGTCTCCGAGTATTGTTGTCCAACTCTCACCTTACATCGTAACCTTTCCATACACATCTGTATCAACCGGACTAGTTTTTTTGGAAAGCCAAGTTCCTGCATCGCTGTCCGCAGTCTGTCCCTACATACTCTATCAAATGCTTGTTTAAAATCTATATATATGTTTAGGTGCCTGTCTTTTTTTTTGTGAATTTTTCAAGTTTTTTTTGTGGCCTAAGGTTTGTGCCACGTGGTCCAAAGAATTTATATTGCTTGTACAGGGCCATGTGGTACATACGTTGTGCCATGGGACTACCTGGTATTCAAAGACAAACTCAAAGAGAATCAAGCAACTCGTGCAAGCCAGTCTGTTGTTAGCTCCTTAGATGAACAGAGTTTTTGAGAATAGCAGTGTAGTAAATTGAATGTAAACAAGGTGTACGCACAATGGGAGATTACGAAAAAGGGCAGAAACGCATATCAATCATCAGAGAGATTTCTTCGATAAAATAGGCATATCATTTCATTATTAACTAATACATACCACATAGTTACACACAGTCAAACTAGATGATTGCTGAACGTGTGGGGAGGTATTGATGGTAGGGGTAATGGATTTTCTACAGAGCTGTGATGTTTTAAATAGTTAGATAAATAAACTGCTAGATTTCCAAAATCTGAAACAAGTGTGCTCTCTATATACAGATTGAACGAATTTAAAACGGATCATACAATTTAATATATGTCTGTTTGAATTGCATTTGAAATAGTGGACCAATATAAAACTTGGACAAAAATAAATCCATACCTGGGTATAGACATTGTATAAAATATCGTTCAAATATCTGTCTCGCAACAATGGAAGCAACTAAGGAAGCGATAATAGTTCAGGAAATGAAGCTCGAAAAAAGTTAACACCTCGCAATTTTTTCGTCCTGCATGGATGAGTTGAAATTTTAACAGAAGGTAGGTGATAGCCCAAGGATCAAAATCTATATCGAACCGAAGTGCTGTGATGGGTTTTAGGGGTGAAAACTACCCCTAATGGTCAAAAATTATAAAATAACATTAAACCTGAATATGGGTAAGATTTGGTTTGAATTAGTTAAATAATGATTATTTTATACTTTTGAATAAAAGTAGTTCCATCATATTTCAACCCTTAAAAAACAACCCTTGTTAGAGATTAATATAAAAAAATTACTAATTCTAAAAAAATGATTTCGTCTTGGATCGATTTGGATAAAAATTTGGATTTAAGCTCAATTCACTCGCTGCTTTATAGTTTATGTCATGTCGACGAACCCTGATTGTTCTTAGGGGTGAAAACTACCTCTTATTGTCAAAAATTAAAAATAACATATTAAACCTGAATATTGGTAAAATTTGGTTTGAATTAATTAAATAATGATAGTTTCGTGCTTTTGAATAAAGTTCCATCATATTTCAACCCTTAAAAAGCGACCCTTGTTAGAGATTAATGTAAAAAAAATTAGTAATGCGAAGAAAATGATTTCGCCTTGGAAGGATTTGCATAAAAATTTGGAATTAAGCTCAACTCTCCCTCTGCTTTATAGTTTATGTCATGCCGAAGAACCCTGATTGTTCTTAGGGGTGAAAACTACCCCTAATTTTCAAAAATTGTAAAATAACATTACAAATCTTAAGATGAGTGAAATTTGGTTTGGATTAGTTAAATAGTGATTTTTTTATACTTTAAAATACAATTTCATACATTTTCAACCCTTAAAAATTAATTGTTATGAGTGCTATAGGTGAAAACAATTTTTTGCCAAAATTTTGCAACTTTTACACTTTTGAAAATCACCCTTTACAACATTGCAGTTTTTATAAACTAATTTAATAGATATAAATTGAAATTAACCCTTAAAAATTAATTGTTATGAGTGCTATAGGTGAAAACAATTTTTTGCCAAAATTTTGCAACTTTTACACTTTTGAAAATCACCCTTTACAACATTGCAGTTTTTATAAACTAATTTAATAGATATAAATTGAAAAAAGTAGAATTAAATAAAAAAAATTTATCAACATAAAAAGGCACCATATATTCTTATACATTTACATAAATAGTTTTATGTAAATATGTAAGAAAATATTTACATTTATAGGTAAAACAATTATAATATTAATTTTATTCGTCATCAATTACATATTCATCGTGATCTATGTCATCCTCATCTTCTTCAATTATTGGTGGACTATTATTGCAACCTTCACCTGAGCACCCAGAACAAGTAGAGTTACAGAATAGTGATGTAACGAATATTCGCATTCGCGAATATTCGCATATTTTTGCATATTCGCATTTGCATTCGCATTCGCAAAATTTGTGCGAATGTTTTGCGAATATTGCACAGCTTGCATTTAGCTCGTTCAGTATCGAAAAGTGGTGAAAAATAATTCCATATTTCACTATAATTTGATTTACTCATAGTAATAAATCGCTAATCACACTTTAACTAAAAATTCACTTGTATTTGTGCACGAGCAGAGCAGGGCAAGTGGAGTGACTTGTGTCCCGTGAAATTTTTACTGGAACTATAACCAGAGAACTTAGTTCTCTGCTATAACTTTCTATAACAAGTCAAATTTGATTATAACAAGAGAAAATAAGATCGAAAAACGTGCTTTCTACGTTTTTGGCCCGGACTTGACTATAAATAAATATCTTTTTAAACGACCCCTCAATAAACTTAACCGCCTACAATAAACTTCTTTACAATAAATACAACTGTTTCACATCTTTACTTTAGCAAATATGATAGAATGATACTGGACAATTTAAAGCAGTTAAAAATGACTTTTTCCAATTGCCTACACACCTCGCGCAAATGAGACTGCCGGCAGTGCCGGAGACAATTAAAATTGCGAAATTAAAAAAAAACTGAATATTCGCATTCGCGAATGTCGGTGGCATATATTCGCATTCGCGAATGTTTAAAAAATGACATTTGTTACATCCCTATTACAGAATAAACCAACGCCGCATCCTTTTTTGCATTGGCAAAAAATAATTTTCAAAAGTTCGTCGTCGGGTAAAATGTATTTTTATTGCCTTCTCCTTTGTGGGAGCTATTGTCTTGGTCAGCACTACTCCGTGCTATTCTCTGACTGGTTTTAGCCTTAGTCTACTCTTTTAAGTTTTAATCGGATAGTTGCGACTACAGGATTGTGGTGTGAATTTATGTCACACCTTGGGGAAGTTTTTATATTTAGAATACTATTACGGAACCTATTATTAATTGTAATGTAGTCGATTTGGTTCCTCACAATATTTCCTTCGCAATCTTGAGGAGACCTCCACGTATATAGACGTCTTTTAGGTAATTTAAACTATGTGTTAAGAACCACAAGCGCGCCAAATTTAAATAATCGTTAAGTTTTCTGAAATTTTTTAATTTTCTACGGAATTTTCTTAAATATTCTCTCTGTAAAAACCTTCTACAGAGTATAAAAAAAAATTAAAAAAAAAGGGATTGATGAAATCGGTAAACTTGTTCGCAAGTTATGGTGTGACCAAGGGAAATGGGGATTTATTTATATATGACTTCTAATAAACTTAATAATTTAATAATGAAAATTTACAGTTTTTTTGTAATATTCATAATATAAAATTGATTTTACAGGTGCAAAATCCCCCAAACCTACCCCTTCTACTTCAAAAGCCACAAAACCAGCACCAGCAAGTTCTAAGCCACCACCACGAAAAACTAAGAGGTCAACCAGAAAGTAAATTAATTTTTCTTTTCAGATGATGTGTATATTTTTTATTTTTTTTTTGAAATTACATTTTTTATGGATTACTTAACCATATAACAAGTAGATGCATATCATGAGGTTTTTCAAAAAGTTATGATATGTGTTTCAAAAAATATTTGAATAATGGATCCAAGTACTACAGAGTATTGAAAGAAAAATTAGTATTTCAAAAAAGGCCTTATGATCTTCCTAAAAAATATAGTTCAAATTTTCATTATGAAATGTGTAAGAGGGTCCGTTTTTCAAAATGTTGCAATGTTTATAGTTACATATACTTATATAATGGCCATTACACGGAAGGGAGTCTATTTTACATTTTGTTTTGTGTACAGTAGATTTCTCGATTATGAAAGAATTTTAGGAATATTGTTTAATAAGGAAAGTGTAATAGATTAGTGTTAAAAAAATATGAGAGTTTTTTCAGTTTTTAAACCATTTATGTATAATATAAGTTTGTCGTCGTCGCTTTAAAAACGTCTATTGACAATTTGACAATTGAACATACTTACTACGTTTAAAAAGGATAAAGGACTTTCCCTACAACACTTTTAGTTGCTTTTATTACTTTACGTTTAATACACTCAACTTGCATTTGGTTCTTCATTTTTATCCCTGTATGGAATACTTGGAATTTAAGAAGCGACTAACAGGATAATATGAAATTTAGATCAGTCATTTAACATCGTTTAGATCTGCTTTTAAGTTTCCTACATTTCCATATTTGAAACAACTCATTTAATGAATTTATAACTTGCTGTGATGTCTCGTACTTATATATTTAGTAATGTATTTAATTTTTATTATTTATTTAGTATGAAGTATCTTTTTCCTGGAAAATAGATAGGTTAATCCTACTTGTTCCGTCACAATTCTTTTAATTATAGTTTTCTAGTAAAATATTCATCCACTTCATTTACTTCTTCCACTATTGAATTTTCCAGGTCACTAAATGTACCACAGAAGTCATCTATAAAACGTTCTAATACTAACGCCAATAGCACTAACGCCAATTTATTATTCATTTGTATTAATATACTATCATTAATGAACATTACACAATGAACAAAATTGAACAAATTTAATTTGGCGAAAAGTTGATATTTCTGTTTGTTTTATTTTTTCTTTCTTTCTGTGTATTTATAATTTCTGGTTGTCCTATAAATCTAATTTCTCGAATTATTAGACTTCGTCAATTCTCTACAATAGAGGTATGAGTGTTTGTCAAGGATGTGACTTTCGGTAAAGGGTATACACACCTGGTTTCTGGGAAATACTCTATAACAACAGAATGAACTTTGTTTTAATTTGAGTTATCAGCTGCTCTGTTGAAATTTATGTATCTATCTATATACTTATTTACTTTTACACATTTCATCAAGCAGTGTTCCAATGCCGTTACCCTCTATATGTTCCTAACGAAGTGCTGTCAAGTACTTATCTACATTCGTATTGGCTTCTTGATTGAACGAAGAACGTCTTCAGTTTTGAGAATAGAAAGAACTCGGAAAATTTCAAATCTGGGAAATAGGGTGGATATTCTAGGGCTTCATAGTACAGATCCCTAAATTTCCTCATTGCCAAAACACTTTTGTGGAAATGTGCGCTGACCTAATGGAAAAGATCTTTTTCTTCTTTGTAAGTCATCTCAGATTTCACGAATGCATGCGTCCAAAATACTGTTACCTTGAACTTTCCCACCTTTGGCACAGTCGATGCCTTTTCTGTATTGAAGAATCAATTCTTATCTACTTTTGTAAACGTATTGACACGAATAGACATTTTTGTTTTCCTTAATTAAAATTTACCAATCACGTTTCGGAAAGTGTCGTGTGAAGCCATTTTTCATCATAAACAAAGCTTTTTCATATTCAATTACTAGTGCAAGATGTTGTATTCGTACGAAATCCTTAACGCTTTCATGCATCTTATATTGCTGAGTTTTTAAAACTATGCAGTTTGTCAAGAATTTCCATTGTAATTGCAGTCATCCTTTAAAAAGTGCCCACTCGTATTAAATCTATTAACACCTACTCTTATAAAGAATGTTAGCATTAAATGATACTCTATTTATCGAAACGTTTTTTCGAGAAGTAACTTTTTTAAATTGCAGATGATTGTCAAAAATAATGACAACAAATATGTATAACATATTTCTGTTCTATTAAATTTGTTGACTTTTTGGCAAAAAAGTTTTTTTTTTAATTATTTGGTCCATATATGGTTAAATAATAGAAAATTAACAAAAATTTGCTGATTATTTATAAATCTGAACAATTAAATGAGCAACTCAGTCCTAATATTGATTAAACAAATTTGGAAAAGAAACTGTAGTTTATGAAATATTTAATACCCATATTTTTAAAAAACCTAACAAAAATACTGAAATCGTGTTTGGCTAATGTTTACTCACATCGAATGAACGAATAATAAATACTGTTTTAAGTCCCATGTAAGTAAGATTTCAATTTTTAATAACAAATAAACTCGGAAACAAATGGTTTATGAAATTTGGAATAAAACTTTCATATTTGTCAATTTTAATTGTTGGAGTAACTATAATGTACAATATTGTTGCAGTGCTGAAACTGATACAAGAAACAGATATTAAACAGTACGCCTATAAGCAGGTATATTTTTTGTTGGTTATTTTTCGTGTTTTTAGAAAGTTACAAGCGAACCAAAACACATTAATTTTGAAATGCAAAGAGTATGTCTTTATTATTTTAGTGTATATTTATTCATAACCGATTGACAATTTCATTGAAACTATTTTATTATAGATTCCAATGACTTCATAACGCACTTTGGAATCCAAGTTAGCTAATTGACATATGACTTTAATATTTTATGTCAAAATTGATGGTAGTTATATAAGAATGTCAGTTTATCTAATAAAGTATGGAAAATATTCGTTTCGTATTGAATAAAACATTCTTTAAATTTTAGAATTGAAGAAAACTAAGATTTAATATAGTATTGATTGATTACATTATTCGTGTAGTAAACATTTACTATTCATTTTTGTGAATATTTCATGACACATGTAAAAATAAAAATAAAGTTATTTTTAATGGACATTTTGTATGTTTTCAAAAAAAATTATTACAAAGTCATCACTTGTTTACAAGCTCTGCTATTAGAATTGGCAACGTTGCAATGTCGGTACCGTTCGCGGCACAATCAACATTCTATTTGCCATCGACACTGTCATATAATTTTAGTGACAAAGGAAGATTATTAACACAGGCCGACAAGCCTTAAACCCAGATCATAAAATACACTCATGGACAAAAATATCGAATATTTTGGAATTTTTTATTTTTCTTTTTTTGAAAATATATTCTGGTCAATCAAGTCGTTTATTGTGAAAAAGAATTTATTTTAACGATGTTTAATGAACAATTTTAAGTTTTTATGCGAAGAAAATTGAAAAATTAATGTTAGGTAAATAAGATTTTTTTTACTCTAAACTTAAATACTATTTTTAAATTGCTTAAAGAAGTCAATCAAACAGTAAGGAGTATTCTCCCCTCTAGCTCTTAATATGGCAATATTGCTTGCATCTTTCTCGGTATGCTTGCAAGTAAATTTTGGACACACCCTTGGGGAATTACTTTCCATTCATCCTGTGCAGCAAGTCGAAGCTGCTCTATCGTATTTGGAACGGGATTTCTTTGTCTAATGCGGCGTTTTAGCTGAACCCACATGTGCTTTATTGGATTTAAATCAGGGCTAAATGGTAGCCAATCCAATCTTCTAATTTGGATCTCATCAAGATAATTAGTCACTATGGCAGCGGTACGTGGTCGAGCATTATCGTGCATTAACATAAATCGGCCATATCCAATGTAATCAACATATGGCAAAACATGATCTTATAGAATATTTTAAATGTAGGTGTCACCAGTCATCCGTTCAATCACTTCAACAAGTGCGGTGCGTCCCTCCCAACTAATACCTCCCGAAAGCATTATGCCACCACCTCCAAAACTAACGGTCTGTGCAAGATTGCAGGTGGGCAATCGTTCTCCAACTCTTCTATAGACGTGGTTTTGACCATCTGGTTTATATAATAGGATTCTAGTCTCATAAGTAAAAAAGAAGTCTTGCGTCAGATTTCTTCATTTTTTTATAGTTCCTTCTGTCACATTGATATTGCGATTCTTTGTTTTTATTTTTGTTCTTAATTTCTATCCAGTTGGTGTAAATTGGGCAATTTCTTTGTAAGGATCCATTATTTTAATACTAGTTTTATAGTTGGGTACTGTAGTACTTTTGTAGTTGGGTAGTCTACTGCTTTTTGTCAACTTTACTATCTTCCGATATAATCTATGAAGTTTTACTAAAACGTGTGAGCAATTTAGAGAAATTCTCCGAGCCAAAACTCTTATTCAGCATAGTAAGGCGACAATAACTAACACAACATGACCGTTTCGACTACTAAACAGACTCTAGTTCAACGCTGAAAAACAAAACTCCAATTATTGCAAAACACGTCAGTCTTCAAAAAGTTTGCAAAAAGTTGCAGTTTTGTTTGTGTTTTTTTTGCTGTTTCGTGAAAAAGCGCCAAAAGAATTATTCCTGTCAAATTATAATAGTAAGTATATCTACAAATAATGACATTCTATCTAGGGAATTTTTTAATATAAAAAGTTGCCTTTATACGGAATTAAAAAAAAGGAAATAATCTAATTCAATCCAGTTTTCTTACCTACCATAAGTAAGAAACTTAATTTTCTATTACTTAAATCTGGTAGATGATTGACAATGCATACGGTATCAATGAGAATATTTATATGAAGATGAGTGGAATATCTAGAAGCTACTACTACTATCGGTTTACAGCGTTCTCCGACTCCTAACCGCCATTCTTCTCTATTTAACCATAGGTCTGGAGGGATTTCTCTTTCCTCCAGTTCTTTTTCAATTCTTCTCGGCCTTCTTCTTTTCCTTCTCTTGTAGTGTCCACGTCAAAATCTGTTTCTGAATCCTGTCATCTGGCATTCTCTGTACATGGCCGTACCATATTAACTGTTTTGTTTTTATGTCATTAACTATTGTATGCTTGACTCCCATCATTTCTCGTATTCTATCATTTGGTATCGGATCTCTTCTTGATTTGCCTGCTGGTCTTCTCCAGAAGTCCATTTCTGTTGCTAGTAACAGTTTCTGTTCTTTGTTTCATTGGCCAAACTTCACCGCCATATGTGATTACACTTTTAAGTATGGTGTTGTATATGAGTTGTTTGTTCGCTTTAGATATTGTTTGGTCCCACAGAATGCCGTCCATCATGGATATGGCTTTTCTACCCTGTATGTTTCTGTCTTTTATAGCACCATCGAGTGTTCCATCTTGAGTTATCTTCATACCCAGGTACTTGTATTCATCACAGTGTCTAATTTCTACCCCATCGTCTAATATAATGGACTGCTTTGTCCCTCCAATACACATGGCTTCAGTTTTCTTAATGTTGACTTTGAGACCCCATTTGTTATATTCTTCTATTAGCTTCCGAATCATGTAACTCAAGTCGTCATGATCCTGAGCAATCAGTATTTGGTCATCAGCGAAACATAAGGTGTACAGTGTAGTCTCGTCATTGAGAGGGATTTCCATGCCATTACATTTTCTTTTCCACAGCTTGAGTGCTTGTTTCAGATAAATTTTGAAAAGGGTAGGCGAAATACAGCAGTCCTGCTTTAGTCCTTTCGTGACCTTAAATTCCTCAGATATCCTTGATCCAGTTTTAATTTTTGCAGTCGTTCCTTTATACAGACTTTGTACTGCTTTGATAACACCAAACTTAATGTTGGTTTGCTGTAGGGTTGACCATAGTTTACTGAGTGGTACACTGTTATATGCTTTTTGTAAGTCTACGTACACCAGGTGAACTTCTTTATTGGCGGCTGTTTTTTTCTCAATAACTTGCGTAATAGAGTACAAGTGGTCTATTGTTGATCGCCCAGCTCTAAAACCAGCTTGCTCCTCTGCTTCGTAATCTCTTATAGTCATTTTCTATTTTGTTCTTAATAAGTTTCCCATACATCCTACTTATTGTGCTGTTTACCGAAATTCCTTTGTAATTTTCACACTGATCCTTGCTGCCCTTTTTGTGGATAGTTGACATGATAGATAATTTCCATTCTTTTGGTAATTCGGCCCCGTTCAAGCAGTCTTGAAAGAGTTTTCTTAACTGTTCCTAGAGTTTGTCTGTACCGGCTTTCACTAATTCTGCAGGGATGTCACCAGGATCAGGGGATTTTCCATTTTTCAGGGATTTGGTTATTTCTTCCATCTCTGATTTACTTATTTGTAATGGTGATGAATTTATACGTATACCTATCGTGTTGTCTTCCATGTTAGTAAATTCTGGTTTTTGTTCTTTGAAATATTCTTCCCATTTTTCTGTTTTTATTGGTGATATAACGTCTTTTTTCTTATTATTTCTAATACTTTTAATCAATCTCCTACTTCTGTGCTTCTTCTACCTCCTATGTAGATGTTGATCTTTTGGCAGTTGTGTTCCCATGATTTGTTCTATATGATTCGATATCTAGAAGCTAATATGTATAAATGGTTGGTGAAAAATTATATATTGTTGTAGAATAGATGTGAGTAGAAATTTTTCTATAATTGAAATTTCAAATGTCTGTCGGCAATCAAGAACTTACCCGTTTTTACTACATTTTACTACATCTAAATTCTTTTTCTTCTAGTGCTGACTCCATTAATAAAGGTTGATTATAACCATTGCAAATTCTTCTCTATCTTCTGCTTTTTTTAAGTGTCTCGAATATTTTTCAGCTAGGATATTTGTTGTCTACCAGGACCCCATTGTCCTTTTACCCTTTATAATCAGCTACAATAACTCACACTTTAATTTATATAAGATCTCGACATAGCAATGATGAGAATATGCACCTTCATGCTGAATAATATTCAAAAATGTAGTGAAGAGTGGGCAGAGTGGCAACGTACCGAGCTTTAGCTTATTCAACACACACATTACACAAAATACAAGTGTTGCGCAACAAATCTTGATAGGTCGTAATGTAGAAAGGGTGCTGCAGAAAACAATTATGGTGAAGTTTCATCACGTATGATTTTAAAAGGACATGATAGCGGCAACAGTCAAAGTATGTCTCTGAATAACAGATAATACTAATACCTCTCAGGTACGCCACTGAATGAATGTCAACAAAACGATCGTTTCGATGAGAATCTGAGTATTTTGATGCGTTAAACATAGCTAATGAATGTAAGTAACTCCATGTATCTACTGAATGATACTCTTCATGAAACTGTTCAAACAATTGGTCAGAAGTAATAAAGGTACCGAAAGTATATTTAATTTCTTGCTAAATGTGGTATATTTGTCATTTGATCACTCATCATCATCCAGCCTTCATTTATCACGTCCACTGCTGGACATTGGCCGCCCTTAAACTCCTCCATTCTTTACGATTTTGTGCTCTTTGTTGCCAATTTTTGGTGATAAGCCTGATGTCGTCAGCCCAAAATGTAGGTGGTCTTCCTCTACTACGTTTGTCTGTGATTAGCCTAAAATTTGTAATTTTACTCGTCCATCGTGAGCCGTGCATTCTCGCTACATGGCCTGCCCAGCAATTCAGTTCCGCTATGCGTTCCACAACATCAGCAATACTCGTTAAAAGATTCATAATCATTAACGCTTTGTATATCTTTTCATATTAATAAAAATATATGTGGAAACTCTGTAAACAGTAGTGAAAGTTTATAACTGTGATTTGCACTCCATAAATGTACGGATTATGGGCTTGCTCTGTTTTGAATTATATTAGGTATTAATTTGTTGAGAATTTGAAGAGAAGTTAAAAATAAAACAAAACTACTCATACAAACCAGATCAAATAGACCGGCGCAACAACACTTTATTGACGATATAGAACATGTTAATAGATTCACATACCTAGGAATGGATCTGGTCACAAGCAATGAAGAAGAACCGGAAATAAATAGAAGGTTTGTGCTGGCAAATAAAGCCTATTTCGCGATGAGCCACTTATTCAAATCACGAGACGTACACCGG